CTTGTGGAAACAGCAACTTTGCTTTTAATGGGATTCTGAAGTCAGTGAAAGAGTGGGTCATACATGGACAATTTCAATGGACCATTACCTTGAAAGGCAAATTGACTTGATATCACCGTGATAGTGTGCACTGTCGATCTTGAGTGAAATTATCCCGTGGAAACAGCAATTTTCATTTTTAAAACATTCTGAAATAATTAAAAGAGTATATCACATATGGACAAATTCGACAGGCCATTAATTTGAAAGGCGAAATCAGACCAACATGAAATTTACATGGTTTTACTGTCGGGTTGGATACTGTTGATCTAAAGTGGAATTATGCTGTGGAAACAGCAATTTTCCATCTCAGAGCATTTTGAATTCGCTCCAAGAGTAAGTCATATATGGGCAATTTAAAAAGCTTTTATTTTGAAAAGCAAAATCAGACTGACTTGAAATTGACATGGTAACATCGTGAGGTTGTATACTGTTGATCTAAAGTGGAATTACCCTGTGGAAACAGCAGTTTTCCATTTTAGAGCATTTTGAAATCACCTTAAGGTAGATCAATTATGGACAATTTAAAAAGGCTTTTATTTTGGAAGGCATAATCAGAATGACTTGATATCGATATGGTATCACTGTGGGGTTGCATACTGTTGATCTGGAGTGGAATTACCCTGTGGAAACAGGAAATTTCCATTTTAGAGCATTTTGAATCGTTAGAAGATTAAGTCAAATATCGGCAATTTCAAAGGGCCATTACTATGAAAGGCAAAATCAGACTGACTTGATATTGATATCGTATCACTGTGAAAAAGACTGTGGTTGGAAAGTGTTGATATAAAGTTCAAATAGTATTTGGAAATACGACTTTGGCTTTTAAGAGCATTATTAAGTCATTGAAAGAGTAGTTCAAAAATGAAGATTCACAGGGCTTTTACTTTGAAATCCAAAATAAGATGGCCTTGATAGTGACAGGGTACAAGGCTGTGTCATATAGATCTAACATTAGAGTTTGTAAAAAAAAAAAGCCTAAATTATATGTTATTATGTTCTTAACATATCTGTTAATTCACTCGAAGTTGGCTTTTATTTTGAAATCCGGTTTCCACATCCATTCCCATAATACTTTGAATACACAGGGAACAGAAAACAAACTGGAGGCTGGCTTGACTGCAAGTCTCGAATTGGAGGCTGGCTTGACACAAGTAGATAAACGATATTTGGAGATGGAAGAGAGCTGCATGTCAGCTCGTCTCACAGCTGCTATCCAGGCTAGACGCCTTCGTTTGGTAACATCGATACACGAGCCGCTCATGTTGCTTCCAGGTTGGGAAAGAATGAAAAGATAAACCATTTTCAACCTTATTCTCTTGCCGGTCGTGCGATCGAACATTGCAGCCGACCACACAGCAAATACGAACCATGGCTGTTGTGTGTGCCTTCGCTCCCTTTTCACTTGCGCTAGACCCCCAAAATGGCGGATCGGGCCACAATCCTTTCCACGCCCACCCCCGTGACATCACTCCAAAGCCCTTATAGGGCTTTGGAGTATACCTCTGGGTGGGCGGGGTAGTCCGGCGAAGCAAATCCACCGACAGGTGAGTGATCGAGTAGAAAGCCGGTGCCGGGAGCAGGAAGAGGTAGGTAGAAGGTCCATGGTAGCATATGGATCAGCCAAAGCTTGAGCTCGAAAATAAGCCTTAAGGCGGACACGAATGCCGCTCCGTTTACCCCGCTTCCTGTAGCGTTTCTTGCGGCAGGCAGGATACGCTGGTGGATGAGACCGAGCGCATCAAGCTGGCGCCTCCCAAGGTCCATCGTGAGTCCGAGTCATGAGATTGAGAAAAACGAAGGTCCAAAAGCATTTGCCGGTCATAGGTAATTAGTGCGTTGCCACCAGATGAACATAATGTTAAAAGAATGAGTAGTACTATGCAAAAGTCGAGAAAAAGGAGTCTAAAGCAGGAAGGAGGAAGACGGCCAGCCAAACACACCGGCGCCGTCTTTTGCATCAGGGGCAAGTAAAAATGTTCATGCATAAGCAGAAGTCAAAATGAAATAGGAAGTCCAATCTATGTTTGCTGAGAAAATACAAATGAGCACAGGATTAAAAACGAGAAGAGAAATCAGGAAAAAAAAAAGTCACTCAATTCGGAAGTTAAGACCAGTATTTAAATAACGTGAACTCTTCTTAATCCCCAGATGTTCTTCTAATTTTCATAGACAAGGTTGGAGGAAGAGGGACTCAAGAAGGTACAGCATCACCTTTACGACATTTTTACCATTATTTACGACTAACTCATCGCAAAACGTCTTCCCAGTGAAAATGGCTCAGTTTAAAGTTTGCTTGGTTATCTGGTCAGATTTACTGCCACAGTTCATGTTTACACTAGTGTAGTTGTTAAAAAAAATAACATGAAATTTACCTAAAATTATACTACAATGTCTTTGTTGGTATTTCATATATCATGAAAAAATTGTAACACTTGTTTTCAAATATCACCCGCCTGACAGCTTTCTGTGTGCAGTGTTGTGATTGTTGTGAACAGAGCTGGAGCTTCTGTGTCTTTTCCTTTTAAAGTTATCATTGGTGACGATGCCTGACACTGACACTGACACGATTCGGCACATCCGCAGACCTAAACCTCCATGTGTGGTAGTAGGTAAGAACTGGTGCCACACTGACCTCACATGAGCAGACGCTCCTGGTGACTTTAACATGTTTTCTGTTTTTGCTTCAGGATGTTTCCAGGTGATTTTGTGCGTCATGCCCATTGCTCAGTTCATCATTGGTAAGCACAGGTGCACTCACTGTTACCAAGATGTACACATTTGTATGATTTTCTGAAGTGCGGAGTTCAGTAATGTTTCATGTGTCATAAAGGAGCGTTGTACCAGTTTGACTGCCCCAGGCAGCGCTACATTCCCATCTACCTGCTGGTGATGGGAGTGGTCTCCATGCTGCTGGGTCTGCTCTCCATCCTTCCGTGTTGCGCAGGCTTCGGCAGCCACAGCAGCGCCTGGACCTGCCTCGTCTCACTCTTCTTCTTCTGCTGGTTCATTGCTGGTAAGCTGAAAGATTCAGATGGCTGACTAATCTGTGGGCAAACTAAGCAAACCCAATTTCTACGAGCAGAAAGCAGCTTTTCTTTTTTTGCTTTCCAGAAAGCAAATGTCAGAGTCAGCACGTAGGTAAAACCTTCAGACGTGTTCACACAGTTACTTCCTGCTATTGTTACTCATATGTTACTTCTATTGGTTTCCTTAGTTATCTCCATCAGACCACACTATGTATGTGTGTTGTTACAGTAAACTGACATTGGATTTTGATTAATTAGGAAGTAAGAGCTTGTTGTCTGAGACTGAAAGTCTGCACTTCAGTCACATCTTGATAGTTTCCTTTTAAATTCACTCTGCTGGTGAACAGAGGCAAATAAAAAAACGTGCGATTGTTCAAAAACATATAAAAAACATTGTTTTCATGTATCAAAGTTCCTGATATCGGTGATGAACTCACAGCGACCCATGTTTCAGTTCTCCTGTTTGTTTTTGGTTATAACCTGTAACTTTAAAGTTTGGTTTCACTCTAGGACATCTCACTGACCTAATTTTCTACATATGTAACTATTCAAATAAAGCAACTGCAGAAAACATCTTCTATCACTTTTGAAAAAGACAAATATATTAGGTGTACCATAATTTTATTGGGACATAATTTCCAGAGGTGGGAACTAATACTTTACTTGAGTATTTATTTTTCTGACAACCTTTTACTTTTATTATAATGTGTTTTGATAAATGACGTATTTTTATATTGTGAAACGTCCTGCAGTGTAAACTAAGCTATACTAGCTCTGTGTTACTCAAAGGTTGCATGAAGATACTGAGCAGTTTTGTGCAGGATAAACAGGTTAGCTTCCGTTAATGTGGTTCATTCACAGTAGATCACTGTGTTGGACCAGTGCACAGTGGCTGTGTTAGGTTACATTAAGTGTAGCAGAGATTAATTTACATTTAAGATGACGACACTTAGATTTATTGGTTGAAATCAACCTTTTTACCTACCTTATGTTGTCTAGTATAAAGACAACATACAGTAGGGTGAAGCATCTTCACTTTAACTTTATTGATTTATATAGATACAATAATACAAAACGTCTGCTGACATCTTGTTAAATTCAGTTGTGTAAATCTACAAACAGCAGCAGGTCAGCTGATCACAGGCTGCACGCTAAGAAAATCTACTGAAGCTGATCAGAAATTATTGTCAGTTGTGAATATTTGCGTCACCTTGAGCCACGACAACAGATCTTAGTGCTCCTCCACCCCTCTTTTACTGCTTACAGTTTAGATTTGAATAACAACTATACTCTCATCTACTAATATTATTCTATTAATATATTAATATAACAGGTTACCTGTGCATATAAATGATTAGTAGAATTGTCCTTCAAAGAGCTACTACTTACTTTCCTACTTTCAGAGCCTGGACTTTTTTACTTATACTTGAGTAAAAAAGTGGGTTCAGTACGAATCGGATGAATGCACACTGCTCATGAAACTCTTCACTTCTACATTAAACATTTTATTTGTGCTCTGTCTTTCAGGAAATGTGTGGATCTACTCCGTCTATGAGCCCAACTACAATAAGACAGTAAGCAGGGATGTGTACTGCAACAAGACGCTCTACCTGTTTGCCTTCTGGACCACCAACATGACCTACGTCCTGTTCGGCTTTTTGCTTTTCTGTACCTGTTGTCCGTGTACTCTGTGTGGTGAAGATTAAAATACATACACAAAATATTTTATGGTGCAGACTTGAGATCAGCGACCCACATTTACATACTGCTGGGATGGGCTGAATTTTAACAGTCGGGGGCACAAGCTCAGTAACCTCTTATTGGTTTGACTTATTGGCGTGTGTAGAGCTCTGTCTTTACATTAGTCTCCCCCTGTGCCATGAATTGAGTGCAGAAAATATCAACAGATATCAAAGATATTAATGTCACTGCGCTAGATGCAAAGATAGGAAGTGTGAACTTTCAACGAACTATATCATGGGAACAATAAACTACCACGTTGTAACTGGTTCCCTTCATAAGAGAAAAATAAAAATATTTCAGTCTTTGTTTGCCGTCATCACTTTTTAATTAAATCTCTCCACCTATGTTAGTTTTTAATTCCTTTAACTGCCATGTTGTGTCAAATTTGACTGATTTAAAAGTTTTACGTACCTAATTTGATTAGACTGACCTAAGATTCCATGACTTTGTCCACAAAGAGGATTTCAACACAAAATATAAATTAGATCCATCTGCATCCAACTTTGTGTGTTTTATTCAACATTTCTACACTCTTGGTTTTCCCGGTCAAAAAAAGCCGGTCATTAGAAATTAATGGGAGAGGCAATTAGCGTAAATAACTGAGTACAGGTACATGCACATTTGTCACATGTACACTTGCAAGCAAGCACCTATACATGTGCATAAACACACACACATACAGACACCTTGGGTTACTTGGGAAACACTACGCGAACCTTAGTGCCCAGGAGAGCCTCTTCTACAGGAATAGCTCACAGGTCACTGTGTGGCACCATCATAGCAGGTCAATACACCTTCAGTGAGACTCTACCTATTTGATCACTACACTGGTGAGGAGGAGAGAGGCCAGGAAACTGACAGAATATAATCTGACCAAGAAATGACTGATGAGGAAGAATTCAGTGATGAAGAGGAGCTCAGGCTGCTGTCAGATTTAAGTAAAAAAAAAAGGAACTTTTCCCACCTGAGAATCAAGTTTGGCTTTTAGCTTAAAATGTCATCAGGATTAACACAGGACCGGCAGAATGTGCCGTACCCAAGAATCTCTCAAAACCGTAGTGATAAATTTGACCAACCTGGAGGGGAAACAGTTTTAGCACAGCAACTGGAAGGAGGTAACCCAGAAAGACACCAAAGACATGATTAAATCAGAAACATTCTGCATACTGCAATCCGTATTTTGGATCTTAGTTTTGATCAAAAACAGAGCTGTGGGGGGATTTCCACCATGTCACGGTCTCTGCTTTCTATTGTTTTGTTGAACATAAAGGCTAAAATGTCCGAAACATTTTTTTAAAAAGTGCTTTTATTCGTGGTAATATCGCTGTTATACAAACGATTATCTGAGTAAATGGCTTGTGAATCCTCATGGCAAGTTCTCCCAGCGCAATGAGACTCTGTAACAGGAAGTTCAGACAACAACACATTCATGTGTGAACACGTTGGCACGTTCTCGTGCAAACATTCTTTTCTTGTCCTTCAAACAAGACACACAGGCAGGTAGGGCTGCAACAAACTATTTAAACTAACACGCCTTTTATTGCTGTCATATAATACATCTGTTTGGGGGGTTTTTAACTACATGAAACACACATAAAGTTTAAACCTTTCTTTTTTGTCTATTACATGTTGGCTTTGGCACGTATTGGTAAATGGCCTGCATTTGTATAGCGCTTTACTCAGTCCCTAAGGACCCCAAAGCGCTTCACACTACATTCAGTCATCCACCCATTCACACACACATTCACACACTGGCAATGGCAAGCTACGTTGTAGCCACAGCTGCCCTGGGCGCACTGACAGACGCGTGGCTGCCGGACACTGGCACCACCGGGCCCTCTGACCACCACCAGTAGGTAAACACGGGGTAAGTATCTTGCCCAAGGATATTTGGCATGCAGCCAGGAGGCAGCGTGGGATCGAACCACCGATCTTCTGATTTCTCTTTCACTGACTTGTGAACACTGTTTGTGATCTGCCCTGTTTCTCTGTTCATTTGTCATTTGCCTGACAGTTAAAGGCAACCTGAGCTCGTCTCACAGCTTCCTTTGTGTCTCTGTAGGTTTCATTTCTAACTAGTCACGATGCCAGAGAGCGATAGACCTCAACACACTTGGATACCTCGAGTAATAAGTAAGAAAGTGATTTTGAACAGTTTTGCACACATCTGCAGCTGCTGTGTGTCATTTGTAACTGAAACCATGTCTGCCTTCCTTCAGGGTGTATCTATGGGATTTTTCTCATCATGTTTATTGTTGAGGGGATAGTTGGTAAGTGTGAGTGGCTCTATATACAGACTGAATTTATCTACATTCATTTTATGTGTTGGAAGGAAAATTTGAAAAATCAAATAACAAGAACTATGCAACAACGACTTGACAGTTGTCTTCATTTTCATGCTTGTGCTCTGTAGGATGTGTGTACTTTAATGACTGTCCAAGGGCGCCCTCCATTCCCATCATTCTGGTTATTTGTGGATTCATACCTGTCTTGTGGGGATTGAGCCGGTTTTTGAACAGGTGCAATATTTTCTTCGACTGTCTGTTCCTCAACCTCCATTTTGCCTGCTTCATCATCGGTAAGTATCCTGGTTCTGGATCACTTGACCCAGCATTTTGGGGAACTTTGTTTTGAGCAGCCTTGTTAAACAGCTCACTTTCTGATAAAATCAAGTTTTGTTCCACGCTTCTACTTTTGGGTCCACAAGTATAACTCCACAAAGTGTGTATCGTCAGATTGAAGTTATATTCAGCTTCTTAACAGTGAAGGTTGCTGTTGTAATACACAGCCAGGCACTGCAGTACATACCTGATGTGATTAGCAACATGGTGGTGACAAATGCTGTATTTTTCAAAGGCCAAGTGAAGCTTGACTAATGACTAATGAACTCATGACTAAAATTAGACCAAAAACAAAACTTAAAGCTAAATTATTTTTGGAAAAACGATACCATTATTGCCCTGTGGTTGCTGAAAATGCAAACCTGCCACTTCAGCCTCCAAACTGCTCTAAATGCTCACTTTATGATTTTTTCTACTGTTGGCTCTGTACAGCACAAACTGTCAGTTTATGAGAGGTAGCCAATCAGAAGAAAGTTGGCTGTTTGAAAATTAAACTAGATCATTATATATAAATAATTAGCCACTCTAGAATGAGATTAAATTAAGTCATGCAGCTTTTGAACACAAATAGAGATCAATGATAACCTGGAGTTCAAACATCTTGTCTGAAAAGTAATTTATATTAAGGTTTACTAAATGAAAGTTTTTTAATGCAAGAATAAATGCATTACGGCAATATTTGTTGTTGCCAAGCATGATCAGACCTTATTTTCTGAGATCTTATTTACATTTTTCCAGGTAGCATAATCGTCTACTCCATCTATGAACCCGACTACAACAAGAACACTGCAGACACCGATCACTACTGCAACAAGACGCTCTACCTGTCTGCATTTTGTTGCATCACCCTGACCTACGTCCTGACAGGTGTTTATGCTTTCACTTATTTTTTTGCTCTCTGCACCAACCAGATGGTTTACGATGATGAGGATCGGCCACTGCTGTGGAGCTAATCATATGAAAGTGTGTACGTAGACCAATACTGATGAAACAGATCAGAATGGTGCCACAATAAAATATATCACACTGTATGAACATATACTACTACTACTAATAATAATAATAATAATACTAATGGCGCGGACTGAAATAAAATCATAAGCAAACAACAGACCAAATATTATATTAATATTTTAATCTGTTCTTTATTTAGAACATCATACATTTAAGGAAGAAGTGAACATGACTTATTGAGATACAGAATTCGGTTAAGACACTGATGACCCATCACGGCAGAGTAAATGATCATGATTTTCCCTGTTTAACAAACGTATATAAGTTTGGTGTTAATGAAATGTGTGATTTTGTTTATTTGCCAACATTCATGCCGTTTCTTTTTTGTTTAATTTTAAGTCAACAAAAATAAATAAATAAATAAATAAATAAAAGGCTGCCCTTTTTATTATCCTGTTACATCTTCTGCAATTTTTTGTCAACAATAAATTGAATAAATTGGTATATTTTTTTTTTCACAATGAACTAAACAGAAACAAATGTGGGAACTAAAAAGTAGGAGAAGTATTTTGGAAGAGCAGAGATTTCGTGCTGCACAGAAACACATGTCAGACAGGAAAGGCTCAGTGGGTTTGGACAACAGCACAATGCTCCGGAGTCTGCTGTAGTCAGTGCTATCCTCTATGCTGTTGCATGCTGGGACAGCACATTGAGGGTTGCAGATGCCAACAGACTGAATAAACTCATCTTCAAGGGCACTAATGTTGTGGGGATGGAGCTGGACTCCCTTAAGGTGATGTGGGAGAGGCAGATGTTGTTCATGATAATGAACATTTTAAGCATTTTAATGATATCCTCCTTTCCTGTGATTCTGGCAATCATGTTGTTCTTGTCCTCCTTGACCTAACAGCTGCTTTTGACACTGTAGACCACAACATTTTACTGGCTCGCTTGCACCATCTTGCAGGCATTCGTGGTACTGCTTTAATATGGTTTAGGTCCTATCTTTGTGACAGAACTTTTAGTGTTAACTTTTTAGGGTATGAGTCTTCCTCTGCCACTTTTCAGTCTGGGGTCCCGCAGGGCTCAATTTTAGGGCCTCT